GTAGCATTGCATTAGACAGAAAGTTTCACTGTTCCTGAGACTGGGGTACTTTCTGGAAATTTTAGGTATCTCCTGAATGACTAATAGAGAAACCCTACTCTCTGTATTGTTCATTACAGCATTACAACTCCCCAGTCTAGGTTTTGTCTCATGCACTCCAGTGTCAATATGTGCCATCAGCAGCACCCTAACATCCAGATGTTATCTGAAAGCTTCTTTATTTGAATCATTCAGGCAAACAGTCATAAAGCGTGTATTCACACTCCCTCTGATTCAGAGTGCAAGTAAAGTGGGTAGTGTTACTTTTCATGCTGCAATCCTTCTCAAACAGGAACAAAATTAAGCCAGCAAGCATATGCTGTCTCTGCTTTATGCAATGAAAGGCTTGCTTGTATATCTGAACTCCTGATTTTTATTAGCAACCAGTGGCTCACGTACTCCCAGATTTCATTAGTTATGTGAGATGCAAAAACTTAAAGAGTATGAAAAATGGCCTTCTTTTTTCAGCTTGCCAGTCAACCATAATTCATGTTGTGCAGTGAATACAACTAGAAGAAGAGAAAAAAAATCTCTTAAATCAGGCTTAGTTAGATACTTTAGTTTCTAAAATATTTCCATTAAATACTATCCATGGCAAATGTCTGTCCAGGTCCCACTGCAGTTCCACTGCCTGCTATCTTGTCTGCCCATTTATACTGCAGAGCTCTTCACTTAGGCCAAGCTGTGGCTCCTTTCATCTCTACGCAACCTGGCACACAGACTTAAGAGGACATGCTGTTTCGAAGCAGAGCCAACACTTCACCTTGACATTTGAAAGGAGTAAATCAAAATGTTTCTCCTGTCCCAAAAGGCAATGAGAAACAACATCAGTGTCTGACAGACCGTTACATGCTGGATGTGCTGTGCATACACCAGTGATCAAATCCACCCCGGAAGGTGCCTGCACTATAGACACGTATAGACACAGCTAACCAGATTCTGTGATCTTGAGCCCCTGCTGGCTGTCTCCAAACATGCCCCCAAGGCTGTAGGTCATGAGGGGCCTGGCATGTGCAGTCACAGGGGCCCCTGGTCTTGTCTGGATAACTAAAGTACCCAGGACTAAGGTTCACCACAGAGAACCCTCAGTTCTGTAACACAGCCATGGTCTGTATCAATCACTGCTGCTTTTTCCTGGGTAAAAAGTGGGCTAATGCTGTAATAGGTGACTCTTTCTCAAACAGCTGCTAACAGTAAGGCATAGCAGAAGCATATGATTATATTATATCCCTCCCAGTAGAGGAAAAGAACAAAAATCTACTTAACTGTCACTATAGGAGACCTTGAACCATTTGTTCAAGGGGAGCTGAAGCATTTCATCATCATCTGGGTTTTCTGACATGCAAGATGCAGAATTGCTCCTCACATGCCATCATGCAGAGACACACACATAGAAACAGCACATCTGATAGCTGATTCAGACTTAAAACCTTAGCAGCAGCCAACCCCCTCTTCTGCTGACCACTTGCCTGACTAGAAAGGACATTATCATTAATAGGCAACACATGAACAAGATCCCTCTCTCTGGTCTTAGATCATGTGCCCGAGACCCAAGGTGGCTGTCATGGTTACAGGGGCTGGGACCAGTTTATCCTTATGTGGGTATTCTATACTCTCTATGTCAGTGCTCATGGGCTGTTAAGAAAATCATGGGTAGCAACTGCCCAGGACAGACCTCACACCCCAGGCTATAACAGATAAGGAAAGAGGTTCAAGGTCAGGGGAGATGTTAACACCTTCCCACCCAGCAGGAGGAGTCCTCCCTGTTAATGGGCCCATCCATGCCTCGCCCCATGGCTCATACAGAGCTCCCCCCAGGAGCTATTTCTGTTTAATGGACCATCAAGGACCCACTGCATGACTCACAGACTGATATCAACCCATTGTGAGATGCTCCACCCAGGGGGAGGAGCCAAGTGCTCCCACCTGGATATAAACTGGGGTTCAGTACAGCATGGGGGGCCTTACCCACTGGATTTCCAGAGGACAAGAGCTACCAGATCTTTTCTACGAGACCACTGTTTCATCTGGACTGCTACCACCACCCTAACTACAGAGTATCAGGTTGTATTCTGACTCTGTTTGTGGTTTTCCTTTGTATTATTGCTTTTATTTATTATTTTTTTTTTCTTATTAAATTGTATTTCTGACTTGGAGTCTCTCACTGGTTTGTTTTCAAACCACTACAGTGGCCCACCACTGGAGGAATTAATAAATCAATGTATTCACTCACTACACATAACATAGCAAAGAAAGGAATCAATTCCAAAACCAGGCCATGGGGGAAGGAAGGCAATCAGTCCAATCCCAATCATATAGTAGTTGCCAGAGAAAGCCCCATAATTCTTCTCCTGCCTCAGTCTTGTCCCACCATTACTGAGAACTCTGCTTGCTGTGAAGTCAGGAAACCCTTTCAATAACTAAAACCCCCATACAATACACACACTATATAAACAAACCTCCCCACCCAACCACAAGCTGAGTCAGTTCTTACAGAGGTGGCTTCTTGCCCCACCTCCAAGTTAATGTGGAAGGTGGGAGCATCTGGTGGTGATCTCCTAATCAGTTCCCACCCAAGGCTGGCAAGACCCTGGGTGAAAACAAGTCAGTAGGGTCTGTCTTTCCTTGAGTAGACATCATCTGTATGCCAACCCTCATTCAGGGCTGGGGGCTTAATCCCAGCACTTCTGCCCCAGACCTCATAGACTCTCCAGTCACTAGCTTTGACTACCTGGTCCCTCAAGTAGTCAAATCTCAGATGCTCTGGTCTCTCTAGTGTCTTGGGTTTACAGCCACTCTGTCACTTGGCTGCCATGACTCTTGCTCTATTTGCCAGCTAGCCTGTACTGATAATGGCTGGTGACTACACACTGATGTATGTACCCACATAATATGTACACCTGTCTCTCCAGCTGCTGGCACCCACAGCCCCTGTCATCTGTGGTCTAACTCAGCTGCTGGCAGGTTGACTTCCATGCATACACACGCACACAGAGAAAGCCCTGCACCCAGGAAAAGCCAGAAATGGAGTTCAGTGAGAAGGCAGGACAGACTGCACCACCCAGGGCATGGTCAGCTATGACCAGCCCCTGCTTACACGTGTCGGTCTCTTTTACTGCCTTATCCCTCTCTTTTCCCACTTTTTCTTGCTCAAACCACCCTGATCTCCCTTTGCCTACCTTTGGATCTTTCCCTAAACAACCCATAATAGCCTTTGTGCAATCCCAAGATGCTTTTCCCTGCATCCCTTGAAGCCCATACCTCCAGGCTGTATCCACCCTCAGTCTGCAAGGTGTTCCAGAAAGCCTCTCAGGCTGACTCACAGTGATGGGTCTTGTTTCCAGTCCATGGGGCTGATGCCCTTCTGGGATGCCCTGGGAGGGGCTGGATTGGAATTTCATTCCTCTGACTGGGTTGTTGGGGCTCCCCTCCCCACCCCCCGCCATGGTGCCTCTGGGCTCCATGGTGTGTGCTCAGAGAAGCTGTAGATGCCTCCTCCCTGGAAGTGTTCAAGACCAGGTTGGATAGGGATTTTTTGAGCAATGTAATTTAGTGGAAGGTGTCCCTGAACATGGAGTTAGAACTAGATGATCTTTAAGGTCCCTTCCAAACCAAACCATTCTATGGTTCTATGATTTAGTTTCAATATTTTGCTCCTGTAGTTTCAAAATACTTTTATGCTCAATGCACATGTAAATGTTTTCTTTAAAAAATGGTTTATAGAGCTTATGGAGCATTTCAGACTGCTGAAGAACTTTTAAGATATAAACATGAGTTTTATCTTGGGGTCTGTGCAGTTTATTCATCTTGTTAGAAAATTGTGAAGTTTGGATTCTTTTCATCAGGATCATAAGAGGAGAAGTGAACAGGGAGCATCAACTCTGCAGAAAGAGCTTTCACAGTTCGGTAAGGTTTTATAGGCATTTAGGTCAGAAATAGTGCCAAAGTGTGCCAAATATTTTATGCATATTAAACTGTTCCACAAGAAACAAGTCGCTTCACTTTGTCTTCACTTCTTAATTTGGTAGAGTGATGGATACCTGTGAGATTATTCTGCTTTTTTGTTGTCTGGAGTTGGTTTTGATCATGAGGAAAAGAAGTCTGTACAGATTGCTCTTTTGAAAATTCTGTTAAACAAGATGCCTACAGTTTCCTCCACCGTATTATGCTTTCTATCACCTACAGCAGAGACCAGGTCCTTTACATTCCTCAGCTCACACTCAGGATGCTGTATGGTGTTTTGAGATTAACAGCTAACAAATGAGGTAGACACAAAGCTGTAGTGAATATTAAGCAAATGCCGTGAGAAGTCTTATTACATGGTGAAGACAAATCAGATGTTCAGGCAGGCTGAATCTCAGATGTCAACAATCTGTTGAGGCTGGCCTAAAGCCACACAGGCTTCAAGCACGTGTGAATAGATAAACTTGAGTCCTCCCACAGGAAAATGAATTTGCATGCCTGCTGGCACACACTTCTTGCTCAAAAGCTGCCTCTCAAGCCAGGTGAGTTTTCAGGTCATGTAACCACTCACTTACATGTACTCTATGTAGACAAACACGCTGTTACATAGAATAACTGCCCTGTAAATCTCAGAACCCCAGCTGCAGCTGTTCAAAGCTTGTGTGTCTGACTCCACATCCAAGTATCCAGAGGCAGAGCCAACAGTCCTCTTACCCAAGCACTGATGTTTAACTAAGCAACAGATTTTCTCATCAGATTTTCAGGTTTTTTTCCTTCTCCAGGACTCAGTGGAAAGCTCCTCAAGAGCTACCACTGTTCCAACCTTTGTCCTAGCATTTGCAAAACAACAAAATAACATGTAATTTCTAAATGATGTTCCTCACATCATCATTTAATATAGCAGTGGTTCTTTTTCTCTGTATCATTTTAACCACACTGATATAATTCAGTGAACGGAGATTAATTTATTTTTCAGCATCACCTATTTGTAGTTCTGTTTACCCACAGCTGTGAATCTCACACTTCTCTCCTATATTCACAGTTCTCGTATTTTCTTTGTCACCGTCTTCTGCTTCTCCTGAGTTGTGCTTCTGCTCAAACACTTTTCTGAATGGCAGAATAAAATCTGCTTGTCCAGAGGACAGGTTGGGAATTGGGGCATCAATATACTTTTAAAAAGCTTGTCTTGTTGATTGTATTTCAGTTTCCAGGCTGTTCTTCCAATCTGTCATCTTTTCCAGTCTTTTTGTGGAGTCCCTACTTGTTCTTCTGCTGCTTTCACTGTAACCATCACTTTTGCCAGCTCATCAAGACATAGGGTCTCTGCTTTTTTGAGCTGCTTTTCAGTTTCAATCTGATTCTCTTCTCATGCAATACTCAGGGCAACATTAATCTGATGACATTTCTCTTTGTTTAATTGCTCTATATTCCTGTGATACAGCTCCTCAGCTAACACACTTTCTTTTTTGAGTTGCTCTAAGCGTTTTCTGTTTAAAAAAAAAAAAGAAAAAGAAGAAAAGAATTGTAGGGAACATCTGTTATTAAATATTATTTAAAAAATTAATTTAATTCTATTCAGGTTGCTGTAAAACCTCTCTCACTGAACTAAAAATATACATGAAATCAGAACCTGATGTAGCACCTCTGAAACAAAACAGGCTAAAAGAAGGGCACTGGTGATGCAGAGAAAGGCAGCTGCAGAAGATTCTATTTCTGCATGCGTCACATCCAGCTATAATTTAATGATGCTTGCTTCCAAATGAAAAATATACATGATGATTATTTCACTCTTCATTCAGGTCTGTCTTTGAGCTAGCAGTTAAGTACACACTTATTTTCAGATAGACTTTGAACAATTCTGCCCCCAAGTAAAAATGCTGTCTGAGAGTGACATCTAAGAACTGATTTCTAGACTACAGATTCATTGGTATTTTTGTTTAAGTGGTACTCAGGAGATCTTTGTGCTAGCATGTCAGTAATAAAACATATAATTTATATTATGTAGTCAGAACATTATGGGTGCTGTTCACCAGAATTGGCTTCAGGACAGGTAATGAATGGTGCATCAGGCATCCATTAAAGTTACTGAGCCAAATACTTCAATGCATAGCAAACAATTTCTGCCCTCTGTTATTGTTCCCTCCACTTTGCAGGAGCATTTTTCACAGAACTCTGTTAACATGAGAAGTTAAAGAGACCAGCTAAGTTTATGTGGAATGTGATTTATTTTTATCATAAAGGGCATGTTTTAATAGTCAAAGTGAAGGTATTAAATAATGGATCAAAACTTAAGTGTGACTCTGTTCAGGAAAAAATAAAAAAGCTTCTTACAAAGGTACACACCTGAACTGATCTTTTCATTGTGATGCTGTTATTTTGTTTGTGCTGTCAAAAATTGTATTCTACTTTTAAGGGAGAGGGGTGTTATTACTTTAACATCAAAGCTATTTAATCCACAATGCTTAATCTAAACAGGTAGAATCTTCTGCACCCCGCAGACCTCCATATGAACACATCTTTTTCAGTTTTGCATAGATGTCATGAATGGCGCAATAGGCCCCTGAGATCTTTATTTCTGATAACTCTAAATCAGCCATAAAAAGCAAAACTTTTGGATCCTTGGTTGGCTTTGTAATACTTGCTTTTAGGAAAAAAAGTGTTTTATTGCTTTATGAGGCGTCAGCAAGACAGAGTAAGCCTGCAACTATTGCTGTCACTTGACATTTGCAAATAAGTTTGGTTTTGTCTGAAGGGTCTATTGATCTTTTCCTAGAAGACCCACATCAGAGCAATGCTGATGAAATTCTGTTCATCTTCTTTAGCAGAGCACATTTGCCAGCCAAGTCAGGGGAAGCACTACAAGCACCTGTGCTGCCTGGCTGCTTCCTCCACAGCCACCTCCGTCTCCTGTTTCTTGGCTTCCACCACCACTTTCATCTTCTCCCAGGCACACTCCAGGAGGGTGCACTGGAGCCTGTGAGCCACGTCCCGCTATAAGCTCTGTATTCTGTGTCTTTTTGTGGATACCGGTTGTTTGTCTACGGCAGACAGACAAAGTGACAAATAATACGACCTGCCTACGAGAATCCTAACTAAAGCCATCTGACCATTAGCGGTCGTGGAACAACCCCATCAGCCCTGCTGCAAAAAGCCATTCCTGAGGCTGCCAGCTGAAAGCAGTTGTCTTTGGCCTATCCTGCATGTAAAAACATTTCAATCACTCATTCAGTGAGATGTCTTATGGGCTGCCACTACGTTTGCTTAGACAGATGCTGAGTAAATTTTCTACCAGCACCTCTCCAAGTCAGCTGCTAGCAAGCAGCTACCTCACTGTTAAGAAACCTCTTAAAATAAGCTGCAAGAAACAAAGCACCAAATCTAAACCATCTTTCAATTACTTTAATAATATCTGCTGCTTCTTTTGTTTCAGCTCTAGAATTCTGTGTCTGCTCCCTAGTCCTTAGTCACCGTAGCCAGTGTTATCAGGACAAACAGTATGTGTTCAAATCCTGAGCACTCACATCTATGAAGACATAAAATAAGCTTGTGGCAAGTAATTGAACAGTTAAACACAAGGAACTGAGCTTCTGCCAACTATTGCTGGCAGATGATATGACAGAAAAAGAAAGAGCTGCCTTGGAAAACAGCTCCATAAAATGGAATTAACTCAGCCAGAAACTTAAGACCACTGTAAACCTCCCTGCTTTTCCTTCTTGAGATGCCAGGCACGTTGCTTTGACTGCCTGCAGTATAAACAGATAGCTATTTGGAAACTTGTACAAAATAAATTTCCAAAGCAAAACACCCCAGCAATTCTCTGTTCACCCTTCATCCACCAGTGGGAGGCTGCAAGACTAAGGGTGACAGGTATCAGACAGACTGCCTGGTGCCTGGCTGAGGAGTGCACAGGTGCTCCAGCGGTAAGAAGCCCTGAGAAGTGGTGCAGAAAGCAGGAAAGCTCAGATCCAGAAGGCAGTTGCCTTCCGTTCTCTGTGGCTATCTCTGACTCTGTTCTCAGCCAAACAGCCATATAAGGCATGTGCCAAGCATATATAGAAATTCAAAGCTACAGTTGGTGTGGTTTGTTTACGAAATATACATATGCTGGCAGTTTTCCTTCTGCACCCCACTTACGGTCCAGTTTCAGTAAATCAGTTAAATGCCTTTCTAACTTTGATGGATCTAACTTCAGGACAGATTTAAAGTTAAGTCTGTATTTAACTGCCCTTAAGAAATGCACCTAACCAGGTTCAATGACTGGCTGAATCAAGGCCTGACAAGAAATTTTCAACAAATTCCAGAGAATTCATTAAAAAAAGAAAAAGTGAAACATGAATTACAAATCCAGCTATCTCAAGCTGCATCTCATCTAGCAGAAAGATAAAGCCGGTCATCTTTCAGGTCAAGTACTTCTCTGCTGGCAGTAGAGTTCAAATCTCAGATGCATGAAGGTCCTGCTTATGGCAAGCATGAAAAAAACCCCACCCATGACATTCTTCATTGTAAAACACGGGGTTCTGTCATGATGGCTATTTCCACAGTAATGAAAGCAAAATTGTTCTTACTGTTAATTCCTTTCCATATTTTTGTTTAAGGTCTTGTACAAATACATCATGGTCAGTGGTTTCCTCTTCAAGAGCTTTATTCACTGCATCTTCCTTGTGCATTTCAGCCTTTAAAACAAGTTCTTATTTAAGTGTAGCTGCTCACATCCCATTAACATCCTATTAAGATGAAGCAGAGGTTACATAATCAATAGTGCTGTATTTTCTATTTAAGAAATCCGAGCAAATCCAATTTAAAGCTAGATGGCAAAATACATTTTGGTCCATTTGGCAATTTTACTGCAGTGGTTCCTGTTAAAATGTGGCCATGCAATAGCATTGAGCCACCACAGTTGTAACCACTATACACATATATAACATAAAGGGCCGCAGTTTTGAAATCTTATATATCACTATGGGGAATAGCTTTAACAATCCCTAACTTGTGTGTGTTTTAGAGGCTATTTTCAGACCAGATGTAAAATTTGTTATTGATTCAAAGTATGCTTTGTTGTGACCAGAAACTGGAGAAATACATGCACGCAGAAATCTGTGAACAAAGGAGCTGCTGAAATTAATGACAGCTTTACAGCAGTGACCTCAAAGTTCTTTATTAACTATTAATTGCTACAGCAATTATTCCAAAGAACAATAATCTTTTAAATAACAGGAGCGTAATTTAATTTTCCTGAGACCGAAGTTCAGATTTCATTTTTTCAATGTGCTCTTGTATCTTTGCCTCCATCTTTTCACGTTGTTCTCATTGAATTGCTCCAGTCTCTGCACAATCCACAGAAGCAGACCATGCACAGCAAATGACCAGAGTGAGAAACCCACGCCTCCCTCCTGACCTCTTTGCTTGGCTCTGCAGCTGAATTAAAAATCCAAAGGCTAAAAAATATACACCCTCATTTCACACATAGGAAAACACAATTACTAGTGCTTGTGCAGTTCCATATATGTAATAGGAAAGTGCTAGACCCAACTCTTGCCTTCTAGGCGAGGCTGCACAACAGGAGAGCATAGTGGGTGTCCCTCCTGACTCTTTGTCCTGACAGCCAACCACGTGGCACAAGCAATAGGTCAGTCCTCAGCTTTCCTGGGAGTGACTCACCTGTTTCTGTCCATGACTGAACCTTGTGGTAGCTCAGGGGATCACTTTGCTCCCTTTAGACGCTACAGGTGAGACAGTGCCCTGTTCAGCTCCCTGTGCCCTCAGGGTCCTCCAAGGCTTTCAGGGAGGTCTCCTGCCTTGAAATGCCCTCAGGTTCCTTCTTATGACTTTTGGCGTACACAGTGCATATTCTCAGGGGGACATGGTAGGGTATTTCAGGTGTTTGAAGCTGAGAATGCACAGACAAAGCCATACTTCTGTCTCCAGGGCTGCTGTGCCTGTCCAAGGCCCAAGCAGCCCCCGTGGTGCAGGAGCACAGCTAATGCCTTCTAGACGGGGGGAGCGAAGCAGCACGGGGATGAGCCACACAGGCCCCAGCCCAGGCTCACGCCCTTCAGCAACGTGGATGAGACTAAGAAAGATGTTGGAATCACCGGCTCCTCCTGTGGATGTGCAGTGAAAGCAAACAGGTGACCCTGCTAGCTCGTTTGAAAGGTGACCAGCACAGAAGAGTTTGCCCAGAAGAGAAGCCACCGCAGAGGAAGGTGGATAAAGATGACTTTCCTTAACCCAGTCCCACCCCTGCGAGACTGGGATTTCAGATCCTCCCATTCTGCCTTTCCTACTCAGCACCTAGCCTGGGCATTGATTTGGATCCCATTCTCTGTGCTCGACAGGGCCAGAGTCACATTTTCCTGGATTATTGTAAAGGAAAATGAAACAGATCTAGCTTTCACACAGCCACTGGAGGATTAAGTCTCCCTCTTTCACTCCAGTCATCTTCCCCATACCATGCGTGTGGGCAGAGACCACTCGTGGAGCTAAAATGAAGTACATGGAAAACACTAGCAGGATGGGACAAAGGAGTCAACTGATTTAAATCAGCAAAACAGAAGTCCAGCAGTGCATAAATCTCAGCAACAAGGATGCTGTGCTCTGACTGCACAGCCTTCCCCTACTCCATTCTGCTAAGCAGTAAGGAGAAAATGATTCAACAAGAGGCTGTCTCTGGCCTTCTGGATGTGTTTTACGCTGCGTGCATCGATACAGAGCTGACACACACAGACGGGGCTCTCAGTGTTAGAGAGTATTGGAATACTATGATTATCAGAATATTAGAATTATTAGAATATTATGATTATCTCCTGATATTGTTTAAAGTAGAAACCAAGCACACCTCTCACCAAAATGCAAAATGCACACTAATTAAAATGCACAAAATTTCTACAAAAATTTATGCTGCTGATCAGAGAGCTCTATGACAACTAGGTGTAACAGCAAGGTAATTCAGCTTCTTGCTAGGTCCTCAAACAGATGAATGTTACCATGTGCTTCCATCCATTGTTGCGGTTACAGTTGTGGTATGGCAGGAAAAAAAAATAAATCTAACCTCAAGAGAGTCTACAGAGCCTCAATCTAAGGTCAGCAGACAGAATTAGGTAGAAGGCGGCAGGATTTGGGATAAAACATCCCAGCTGTGTCCTGCTGAAGGATGAGGGGGTCATCTTTGCAAATGTTAAGTCAAGCGTAGCTTTTCCCAAACTATTTGAGCCTTAGAAAGCATTTGTTAACGGACTTAGAGCCAATTATCTTTTGCACTTCATTATGCCCAAATCTAATTGCCTTCATGCACCACAGGACAGCTGACCCTGTGTCCCTCCCCTGATTATACTGGGTTTATTAATATTCAGGAGGTAAGCCCCCTTCCAGCTTGCAGGCTAGCAACAGTTTCTGGGCAGGGCTGTCTCTGCTCACAAGGAACTACCTTTCCCTGGTGATAATTAAGCAGCATCACAGCAGGCTTTGGTTTTCAAGGCACGTTTTTGCTGTTGAATGTCAACAATTCCTACTCAAACTATGCAATCCACAGAGATTCTAGGCGCGGAGCAATAGCTGCTGTTTCAGGTATTTGAGCCATAGTATTTTGTTGCTGTTCTTGGTGTGAAAGCCAGCACGGACTGTAAGAAATTGCCAAAAAGCTGAAAAGGTCTCTGCCCAGGAAATCATTTTGATTCCCAGTTCCTGTGAAACCAGCTATCACCCACTGCAGGTAATTGTTACTATATTGAAGATGGAACTTAGAAGCAGCAGAACAAAAGACATTGTGTTGGTGCTATATGCTTATCCTCCAGGTGTGTAAGGGGAGCTGTGCTTTCAGAGCTGAGTGACAAAATGCTGTCACTAATGTAGCTTTGTTTGGGTGGGCTTTTTTTCCCCTTTGCTCCCTATACACACATAGCATTTATGATATAAATCAGGTACTTAAAACAGGGAATGCCAGAATCGACAGTATAGGAGCCATTCATTTACTACATTCTTCTCTGTATTTGCACTGGTTCATCTCCTTTTTATACATAATTTTGGTAGCATTAAGAGTTAATTGTACAGCAGCTGCCACAAATAGAAGCTTCCTAATAATAAGGACAAGATTAAATACTTCTCCTTCAACCTAGGCCATCCTAAACTGACCTGGTTAACAGGACTTGACTCCAGCCAAACAGACAGCTTTCCTGCCAAGTGCCGTTGCCATGCCCACTGTCTAGGCCCTGCCCAGGTCAGTCCCACACCTACAACTTTCACCCCAGTCCCCTGAGGCTCTTCCTTCAGTAACTTCCAGATGCGTCCTCACTTCACAGAACACGATCCAAAATTTTGAGAACCCGAATCCTGCATCATTCTCATATGTGTGAAGATGAACCATCAGGCTTTCTCACTTTGTATTACCCACATTTATGAGGATCATAGAATCATAGAATCATTTA